TTTTCCAGAGTGGCTGCACCAGCTTGCATTCCCACCAACAATGCAAAAGAGATCCTCTTTCTCTGCATCCTCACCAACATCTGTTGTTGCCTGAGTTGTTAATGTTAGCCATTCTGACAGGTGTGATAAGGTGGTATCTCATTGTGGTTTTGATTTGTATTTCCATGGGATTCTTTTATTAGAATGATGAAAACACACTGGAATTACACAGGAATGATGATTGCACCATCTTATGAATATACCAAAACCCACTAAATTATATGAGTGAATTTTATGGTATAAAATTATATCTCAATTAAAAAAACAAAACCAGATCTGGGCACTAGCTGTGCTCATTTGTATTCGAGTATTATGCATGTAGGCCCTCTCAAAGGACAATTTAAGAAATACATGTTTGTATACCCAATATATGCATTCATATCTATACATATAAACGTGTGTAGACACATACACACATGCATTTAAACACTCACATACATCTAGAATATAAAAACCTATGAAGTTTACACTGCTATCTCCAATTCCAATCTAACACTACAGCATTTATTGCATCCTTCCCCTTTTTCAGATTTGTAATTCCCTTCCACAACAGTGTCAAATCTTAGAAGCAGGATGTGAATCCAGATAGTTAAGGTTTCTTAGCCACTATACATTAAGATGTCCATTTATTTTAACACTATAATTTACTGACAAATATCTAGTTAAAATTCAGGAAAGATCTCTTAACTGGTACTCACAGTGATACTGTCCAAGAGTTTAGCCATATGTTTAATAATTTCACCATGTTGTGCAGGTTGCATTTGCAGTAATTTCTTAATAACAACCACACTTTCAGCAACAACTATTTCTGAAAAAGACAGAGATCATTCATATTACATACGTGTAATGCAATTCAAATGCAATATTCTTGGTCAAATGTAAATTTAAATTAACAAAATATTATACGTGTCTTAATGACGAGGTGAAAACTATAACCAGGAATAAATTTCCAAATTTTGGGGGTTCACACTGTTTTAAGCAGAAGAGTACACTTAAATTTCTAATCTCTGCTGTTGCCTCCTAGCTTCTGATACCCCTTTTCAATACCTGCCTCTTTGAGTCAAAAAAGGAAAGTGAGGTTCAATTTTGGTACACACCATAATGTTCAAGTGTCTGGTTTTTAACTATAGCTTTCAAATACTTGATTTGTACCACAGTGTGGTAATTAAGTAGTTATACAGTTCTTTGATTCCTATCAATTATAAAGTGGTAATCACCTACAATCTAAGTAACTTTTTTCCAATTCTAAAGAAAACAGCAAACTTTTTAAAAACAAAAATTCCTTAAGTGGTCTGTCCAGACAAGTGAGTAGTAAGGATCATCAGTAGTAAGAAAGGTGTTACTATAGAAATAACAGACTTCAAAGCCAGAAAGAGTAGGTTTGTGCACTGGAATGTCTCCATTTGTTGCATGAATCCACTGTCTGCCTTTCGTGACCTACTGTGTGCCCACAGAGGTTGACCTCTGTGGACTGCATCAACCAGACTCCCTTACCCCTGGCTTCCAGCTGTGTTTAGCTGACAGAAAGCACCAGCAGGAGATCAAGGGCAGAAGGAGAGCGTATTTGCTATCCTTGCTCTCTCTACTGCAAGGCCTCCCTTGGCAGTGCATGCATTCCTCTTCGGAGAGTTTCAGTTCCTGGAAGTGGCTCTCTCCTGCTGAGTCTGGTTGCCCCTTCCCTTCAATTCTAGATCTGATAAAGGGGCTTCCCACTGTTGCTAGCCTGTTAGCTCCAGCGTGTTACGTCCTACCTTCTTGGTTTCCCTTAATCCTGCCCACACCTTATAGGTAGTTCCTTCATTAAATTCTCTTCAATCGTTCCTTTTAAGTGTGCCATCTGTTTCTTGCCAGGGCCTTACTAATATAATAATTGGCAGTGGGAGTGGCTCCAAGGAAGCAGATCCTCAAACGGATTCTGAGACTCAGTTATCAAACTTAAGTGGCTAATCACTGGTCCAGAGTTGCATTTATGGTGGCACCAGCAGAGAATTGTTGTTGAACTAGCCAGAGCACCTGAACTTATGGAATGAACCTTGCATAAACAATTATTAATGCTACTGATGCCAAAAAAATAAGTCAACAATGCCTTCACTTATTACTTTGACATTTTTTATTAACAGGGCTTCATGGATATTAGAGCTTCCCTTGGCATACACTACAAAGATTTATTTCAATATCATACTGAAAATACCAAGATTTGTGTTTATTATTTTCCCTGAAATATATTTTCTTATCTAGCTCCCTTTAAGAATGTAAGTGAAATTTTTACCATTCTAATCATTATTAAATATACATATTTCAAACTATATATACCTTTTTCTCCAGTGGAATGATAAATCAGTGTTTATACAATGCTTCAGTTTACAAAATGATGTATTTCTTTCTCTACTCACGGTAACATATGGTAGGTATCTTATTATCATTATTTTAAAGATGAAGAGAGAAATGGACTAGAATTACATGACTTTGTCCAGAATTCGAACTCAGAACACGAATGTACAATTTTACCTCAAAATTCTAAGTTACTACATACAGCTATTACTTTTATAAAGACCACTGCTTTGAGCTTTGATGCATACAAAGATTAAGATCCTGCTCTTGTCAAACTTACATTCTAGTAAGAAAATTTAAATGGTTATATAAGTAATTACGATGCAAAGTAAAATATAGTAAATGTGGTTTTAAGAATCTACAGTATAAAAATTTATATTTTTAAAATATAGCAAAACTAGACTAAGAAAAAATATTGTAGGGGCGCCTGGGTGGCTTGCTCGGTTGAGCGTCCGACTTTGGCTCAGGTCATGATCTCGCAGTCCGTGAGTTCGAGCCCCGCATCGGGCTCTGTGCTGACAGCTCAGAGCCTGGAGCCTGTTTCGGATTCTGTGTCTCCCTCTCTCTCTCTGCCCCTCCCCTGTTCATGCTCTGTCTCTCTCTGTGTCAAAAATAAATAAACGTTAAAAAAAAAAAAAAAGAAAAAATATTGTATAACTTTAATTATCCACATGCAGAGGCAGGATTGGCCACAGTTGAAATATATATTTGGCATCATTTACCTTTCATGCTGTATTACTTTCCTATTACCACAAACTTAAAGGCTTAAAACAATACACATTTAGCATCTTACAGTTCCGGAGTCAGGAGTTAACAGTTTAGCCCTTATGGGGCTAAAAGCAAGGTGTCAACAGGACCATCTCTATGTGGGTTCTAGGAGAAAATCCATTTTTTGCCTTCTTCCAACCTCTACAGACTGTATGCATTCCTTGGCTCAAGGCCCCATTCCAGCAATGGCATCACTTACAATCTCTGCTTCTGAAATCTGACTTTGTTGACCTTCCTCCTTCCCTTAAGAGGACCCTTTTGACCTCCATCTCAAGAATCTTAATCTCGGAAAAGTCCCTTCTGCCAGGTAAGGTAAGGATATTCACAGGTTCTGGGCATAAGGACCCGGACATCTATGTGGGAGGCAAGATTCTGTCTACTCCATGTGCCTTCTTATCCCTTCCTGTAATCACACCATACTCTTCCTTGATACTATCTCCTGTTTTTCAAAGATTCCAGGACTGTGGTGCTGCTCTATCCAAAGCACAAAATGATCCTGTGTTCTCACCTTTCCAAGCTTCTTCCTTGTCCTTAACAAAACTTAATGGCCCTTACTCTAGAAGTACAACCTACTATTTTTTAATTTTATTTTATTTTGATAAGAACAGTGAACATGAGATCTACCCTGGTACCAAACTTTATTTATTTTTGACGTTTATTTATTTTTGAGAGACAGAGAGAGATAGAGCTTTAGCAGGGGAGGGGCGGAAAGAGAGGGAGACACAGAATCTGAAGCAGGCTCCAGGCTCTGAGCGGTCAGCACAGAGCAAGACACGGGGCTCGAACCCACGGACTGTGAGATCATGACCTGAGCCAAAGTCAGACGCTTAACCGATTGAGCCACCCAGGTGCCCCGCCCCTCATACCAAACCTTAAAATGTACAATGCATTGTTGTTGACTATAGGTACAATGTTGCACAGCAAATCTCTAGAGCTTATTCAACTTGCTTAATTAACTGAAACATTAGGTTTGCTGTTTAGTAATTGCCCATTTCCCTTTTCCTCCATCCCCTGGCACTGCCATTCCACTCTCTGATTCTATGAATTTGACTATTTTAGGTATCTCACACCAGTGGAATCATTCAGTATTTGGCTCTTTGTGGCAGGCTTATTTCATTTAGCATGTCTTCCAGGTTACTATAGTCTACTGTTATACTCATTTTGCAAATGAAGAATCTGAAGCACAGGGAGATTGAGTAATTTATTCAAGATAACATTAACATTCAAACACAGGCAGTCTAGTTCTGCATACAAGCAGATAGCTCACCACAGACTAACTGGGCAATATACAAAAAGACTGTAATACATGTTTTTCATATTACTGTTTTCATCTATTAGACTGTTAACTCTGCAAAGGAAAGAACCTTTTATAGGCTGAATGAGTACCTCATTCATCTATTCAACATTTACTAAATACCCCAACTGATTCAAGTTTTCAATAAATGTTTACTGAAATATATAAGACTAAATGAAACACAAAGTAGTCCTCTGCCCCAATCCTTTTAGTTTACAGTAGATGGTGAGGTTATTTAGGCAAGCAAATTTTGCTAATGTATTAGCAATATTAACTAAAGTAAGTTAACTTACAGAATTAAATTATCTTAAGCCAACTGAAATGCAGATTTCTCATAAAGATACTTGAGAAATTATCAAATTAACCTTGGTGATACTGAACTATTTTAGGCAAGCTTCAGGTCAGCCTTGAAAAGCCCTCTCCATGTCAAGAAGACAGAAGTAACATAAAAAAATAAAAAGTGAAAACAAAAATCTACACATCTAAAAACAATATGTTGAATATAGGCAAAAAAGAATCAAGCCGAAATGTTGCACCTATGGTTTTAAGATACGTTATCTGAAGAGATGATGAGGTATTTGAATTAACAGAAAATCAAGAATCACAGATCCTTAGAGCCTCAAAAGATCTTAAGAGATTTTAAAGAAACTGAGGCCTCATTCTTGATACCTATTCCTAAGAGCAGATTTTTTAATAGGAGAAAAAAAGGGGCTCTATTGTCAGGAACGGTCACTATAAAGTTAAAAATACTAATACTTTCTTTAATGCTACTGATTTTAATATGAATATTCTCTTTATTTGTTTTACCAGTTACTTTTATTGAGGTGTCCAAACTACAAAAGTGTAGCTCATATAATAAATAATCAAAGAATCAGATACTATAGGCTAATGATGATGATGTAACCAGAATCAGGACACTATGATTTAAGTTTCTTAATATTCAAACTGTAGGAAAAAAGCCATGGTTGTAAGGATAGTTTTGATTTACCAAAAACAAAAGTCTAAACATTAAAATATGAGAGTTTAAATTAGTAAATCCTCCTACCTTTAAGAGTGAACATAGATTATATTTGTCCCCCATTATCTAATTATAAAACAATCTATTCTTCCTTTCAAAGTGTTATAAAGATAGAATATTCATCTTTTAAATTAAAGTCAATAAAAAATATTGTTCAAGATTTTAATATATTATAAAGCTGAAGTAGAGATAATTGCTTTAAAATACACAATTTGCAAATTTCACATGAGAAAAAAGGGTCAAAAACTAAAATTGAGAAACCTTGAATATTCTTTTGTATGTAAAAGAACCAATGAATATTCTAAATAATTTGTAGTACTTTTTATATGCAACTAAATTTTAAAAGAATAATTTACCCTGGAACTTTGGTTCATCACCTTTAATGTTCTGGAGATACTTTCCCAAGAAAAGCACTACATAAAACCAAACAGAAAGTCATTATTAAGATATAGGAAATAAAACATGTTTTTCAACTCACACTTAAAGTGTGACATAGAAACTGAGAAAGGGGCACCTCGGTGGCTCAGTCAATTGGGTGTCCCACTTCGGCTCAGGTCATGATCTCACAGCTTGTGAGCTCAAGCCCCACATCAGGCTTGGTGCTGTCATCCGTGCAAAGCCCGCTTTACATCCTGTCACTCTCCCTCTCTGTCCCTCCCCTGCTTGCGCATGCTCTCTCTCTCTCAAAAATAAAGAAAACATTAAAAAAACAAGAAATAGAGACAAAAAGGATGCTATCATTAAATGTAAGGGGCGCCCAGGTGGCTCAGTTGGTTAAGCATCTGACTTTGGCTCAGGTCATGATCTCACGGTTTGTGAGTTTGAGCCCCATGTCTGGGTCTGGGCTGAGAGCTCCGAGGCCACTTTGGATTCTCAGTCTCCCTTTCCCATTTACATGCACACTCCTTCTTTCTGTGTGTCTCAAAAATAAACATTAAAAAAAATACAAGTAGAAATGGACAAAATGACTGACATTTAAAACTTAAGCTCCTCTAGTTACCTTCTACAGTCATATTTTTTAAAAATCTATTTCCTTGATAATTTTTGTTGTCACTTATTTAGAATTTTAATATTGCATGTAGATAAATGTTCTACCCATCATATTATCTTGAGTTTGCAGGATTAAGGTTTATAATTTTATGTTCACAATAAAAAAAAAATCACTCTTACTCGGGGCTAAATTTTGTTTCAATAATATCCTTAGAAGTACTTATCACAATGTTACAGTTTTCTAAAGAGATCTACATGTAGGAATAGATAATTAGGGATAACAGAATTATTGTCATGAAAATATACATAATAATATAAAGTATAAATATAAAATGTATTCAAGCTTCTTATGTTTCAATATGCTTATGTCTAAATATGATGTAATTATATTTAGAATTCCACAAATAATTTCAATGATTTTACACAAAAAAATTAAGCTTTTCTTAAAAAGAATCTCTTGTTTTAATCAAATATACAATCATATAAAAATCCTCTAAATATATTATTATAAAGGTGAAAGTGACTAATATTTCTTTCTCCAAATGGCTTCACTTTCTAAAGCCATACCATAGAAATAACTGACATTTTACCAAAGAACAATATGAAACCTAGATTATGCATTTTACTGGTTATCACCTATCCAGTTTTACAATATGTTTACATGTTTTCTGACTTAACAACATGAAGTGCTTTCAAACTAATGACTGTTAAATCAAGTTTAATCCTGAATATGAAATTATTGGATACATTTTTAGAACAAACCTTTGAAGATACACAATAAACATACTTTTTTGATCTAGCCACTTCTCCATGCTATAGTCATTTGCCTGCTTTTAGCACCCTCTGCAGGTGAACCAATATTATATATGACTTCTGTGTCATTAAAAGCAGTAAAACAGAACCTTTGTGGAAAGGGTATAATGAAGGTGATTAAACTGTGAAGAAATAAAATAAAACACACTTTCTTAGTTCTTGTTTAAGGAGAAACAAACACTGTTTCCAAGTTAATTATCTAGTTTACTAAAACAACGACAAAGAAGTGTGTGTGGGTCTTTGTATTTCAAAGATAAAATGCTACTTTCATCATGACCATGCTATTGACATACAGGAAACACTGAAATGAGATGTTAAAAAATGTTACAATTTGAAGAACATGCCAAGAATATTCAAAGGATAAATTTCTTGAAGTAAAATGACATTGTTAACTTACCATCTCTGTTGGACAAGAGACATACCAGGCCATTGAGGCATGTGTCTGTGACTTCTGAGATGTTGGTTGCACATCTGCCTATAGTTTGAATAGTGGCTGCTGCAAATTCTTTATCCTGGCTTTTCACATAGGTCTAAAAAATACCATTTCAATTAGTTTATACTTTAGGGTACTAACAAGTGAACAAAAAGATCCCTATTGTATTAAGCTTTGTCAGAAATGAAAATTTTATAATACATAACACAATATTCTCATTTATATGTGCAAGAGGTCCAAATGATGACTTAGCTTAATTAAATTTTGTTTTTTACTTAAACAATGTGCCTTAGAAGAGGCGCATTTTCAAGCCAGGTTCATTCACCTGTGGCCACAGAGGCTTGTGATTCCAAAACAGATAGTGGGGAGCAGTCACCCAAAGACAGCAATTAGTTTAAGTGCAAGGTTGAAAGAGATGATGAGAACTCTCTCTTTGGAGGTTTCAGTTCATTTAACCAGCAGCATCTGTGAATCTATGAAAAAAAGGGTTGCTTTTTCAGAGACACTAAATCTAAAGTTGGGAGAAGAGGAGGAAAAGGACAAATATACCACTGACAAACATTTTACTTTCAAAATGGTATCTGAATGTAATAAAACTACAATAGCTACAGTGAGTAGTTCAGTAAAGACTTTATATATACTCATTTTGTAACAAAATGCCACAGTTTTGAAATAGATTTTCTTTAAAAGAATGTTTTGAAAATATAGTGTAGGGGCATCTGGGTGGCTCAGTTAAGCAACCAACTCTTGATTTCAGCTCAGGTCATGATTTCATGGTTTATGGGATCAAGCTGGCCATCAGGCTCTGCACTGAGTGCAGAGACTGCTTCGGATTCTGTGTCTCCGTCTCTCTCGGCTCCTCCCCTGCTCTCTCTCTCTCTCTCTCTCTCTCTCCCAATAAATTAATAAAACTAAAAAAAATTTTAAAATAAAAACAAAAATGTAAACTATATATTTATGTAAACTTAAAAATAACTGATTTAATAATAGAAAGTTAAAAGATCTTTACAAAACTTACTATAACCCTAACGAATTTCACTTTGATTATAAATTTCTTAATTTAAAATTCAGCTTTGTTTACAGAAATGAGTATACTTTAAATATGCATATTTATATATTATATGTAACAAAATTTAAAATCCCATGTTCGCCTGAATTTTTTTTAATTTTTTTTTTTTTTAAATAAGCTTTACGCTCAACGTGGGCTTAAACTTACAACCCTGGGATCAAGAGTTGCATGTTCTACTGACTGAGCAAGTCAAGTGCCCCTCAATGGAATTTTTTTTTTCTTTTAAGTAGGCTTCAAGCCCAGTGCAGAGCCCAATGCGGGACTTGCACTCACGGCCGTGAGATCAAGACCTGAGCTGAGATCGAGACTCGGATACTTAACTGACTGAACCATCCAGGCGTCCCTCAAGTGAATTTTTTAAAAAAAGATTGCCAACCTCAAATGAGAAGAACATAATGTACAATTAACACTGTGGTTCTCTAACATGCCAAAGAGGATGTACATTTAAATGGTGCTGAAGAGAAAAATCTAAGAATATCTAAAACCATACAAATTTTGTGAAAATAGTACAAATAACAGGATAAATACTGAAGAAATAAATAAAACAAATTCTCTTAGTTCCATATAGGAGAGGTCAATTGTATTTAAAACTGTTTCCCACTTGATGACATAATTTCCTTAATTAGAATACGTCATTAGAAAAATTCTCTATTTTACTCAAAAAATTACTATTGTAAGTAAACTGAACATATCTATAAACATAACCCATAACACACAAATGAGGTACAAATATTAACAGTGATAAAAAGTGGATACATAAAGAATGTATTAGAAAGTCTAACTAAAGGACCTTATGCCCTGATATTAAATGAAATTAAATGAAATCGGTAGATCACCAATATTCTGAAATAGGTCCAAAGTATCACTTGTGTACAATTAAACAATGCTATAAAATTACCTGAGACTCACTGTCTACATCCCCAGTAAACCTGACATAAGCAGTAGGTTGGCAGCAAAAGGCTACCCAAAAAGATTACCCACAATAAGAAAAGGGCAAACACAAACATTGAGACAAAAAATTAAAAACTTAAAAAAAAAAAAGCAAACCTCTAAAAATGAGGTAAAAATCAAACCCAAACAATGTTCTATAGCTATAGATTACTGAATAAGAACTTGAGATACTATATTTCCTGGCATATATAAACATAAGATGACTGAATAGCCATAACATCCTAATTTTGTAAGTCATCCTCCTAGGAAAACATACAGCATGAAAGTACAGTAATCCAGTTCTGAAATTATAAATCCTAGACATGCTATAATATTCTACTACTTGTGTTGAAAGTGTAAGGTCACACAGTTAAGAAAATACAATGCCTATTTAGCTAAAAGGAAATTTAAAACGGGTATACAGGAGGATTATAGCAACAAAGTAAATTAAATCCATAAAAGTTGGGAGTTGGCAAAAACTGATTTGTGTGTAGCATGTGGTATATTTTTACTAAGAAAACTGCTGATGAAATATAAAAACCCATAATACTAAGATTAGGTTTTCTATTGCTGTCATCTACCAACTAAGTGTCCAGCCCTGACCATTCCAACATGAAGGCTATATTCATGAGGTAAGTTTTGAATAACACTCTTTTAAGGGTGTAGAGCTGAGGGGCACCTCATCCAAAAGCATTAATGGCTTAAATAAATACAACAAAAGAAAACACTGATAAAAACATTATGACAGGAGAAATTTTAGACCAAAAGTACATAAAGCTAAGAGGACACTGTCTAAAAGAGTATAGGTCAATGAAACAGGACAAGCAGTTAAGAAGTGAAGCTATTTTCATGAATGCAGAGTATAGACTGATACTGATGACAGCACAGAGAGATGGAATCCTTACCAATAACATAATTTCAAAAAAAAAAAACCAAACAAACAAACCACAGTTATAAACCAGTCTTTCAAATTCAATGAAAACACGAAGGGGATTACTATTCTATGTCCCTTAAATTTTGAATTTGTAGTTAATGTTTATTCTTGAAAATTTATAAATTTCTTAGTTCTCAAATTTGTCCCAAATCACTATTTTATTTAACACAATTATCTACTTCTAAACTGAGAATGATGTATATTTGACTGTAAACTGAACAAATATTTTGTAAGTTATTTTATAATTAGCATTATATACAAACCTGAAATTCTCGGAGAAGAGTTGATATGTTGGCTTCATTTGCCAAATTTGTTAAAATTTCAAGCTAGGGTAGAGAAAAGAGTACCATTTTAAAACATAAATAAAAAGGATTAATTTAATAAAGACTAGGCATTTAATACAAAGGTCACTTATGTTTTTAACAAAAGTCACACTGTTACAAATATTCTGAGGCATAATGCCCTTCAGATGAATTTTTGTCTTCCTACATCTCCAAAGAGAAGACAGATAATTATATAATGCTTAAAAATAATTAGGAAAAAAGAGAATCCTACATCTTCCCTGTTTGCCCCAACTTTACAATTTATATTTAATTAAAAAAGATTTTTTTGTTTATTTTTGAGATTGAGACAGTGTGAGTGGGTGAGGGGTAGAGATAGAGAGGGAGACACAGAATCTGAAGCAGGCTGCAAGCTATAAGCTGCTAGCACAGAGACTGATGTGCTTGAATTCACAGACTATGAGATCATGACCTAAGCCAAAGTCGGATGCTTAACCAACTGAGCCACCCAGGCACCCCTATATCTACTTAACCTAAACAATTTGAGGTGGCTGGGCTTTTCCCCCTCTTTGTTAATAAAGCTAGAAAACAACTCATCTTCCATGTAATACCTCTGTTTTTCCAGATACTAATTAATTCTCTTGATTTGTTCTCATTCATTCTACCATCCCAAATACTTGGGACATTTTAATTCTCTCTTCTGGATTTACAGTTATAAGAAATATGCAATTAAAAGTGCTTCTCCAACAGACTCACTAAGAAAGTTCCAGTTTTTACTCATAAAAAATATTCAAAAAATCTGAAGGAAAGCATGAAAAAGGAAAAAAGGAACAGAACAGATAGCATAAACAGAAAATAAACCACAAGATGTATATATGTATGTAGCTACATGGTCATATCATGCTCCATATACATGGTCATACCAATAAATACATTTAAAATAAATGGTCTAAGCGCACCTGGGTGGCTCAGTCGATTTAACGTCTGACTCTGGATCTCGGCTCAGGCCATAATGCCATGATTCATGAGTTCAAGTCTCATGTTGGGCTCTGTACTGATGGAGCAGAGCCTGCTTGGGATTCTCTCTCTCTCTCTCTCTCTCTC